GGATATGTAAAAAAACCACTTTCCTGACCTCAGAGGTTCATGTTTACAAATACTGGGAACACAGTGTGGAGGTAAATTTTCTATGGCATGTATAATCCAGTGCATAAGACATTAACACGGACCTCCAGAGAAATGCACTCACATCCTGGTTTGACATCATATTTGCTCAGGTAGTTCACCAAAGCTACAAACACAGGGGAAAAAAAAGTAAAAAACCATTAGGCTAAGTCATGCTGTGCTTTGATTTGCCATGCAGCTATAACCTCATCTAAGTTTCAGTGCTTTCTTCATTCCTCTTAAAATTCAGACTGGGAAAATCTACCATTGGCTTTACACCAATATACAGTGCTGTCAATTGGATTCTGCCCATATACCAAGAGTAAAACATTTCCTTCCAGCAAGACCCACTGCCAGCAAAAAGTACCCCTACTACAAAACCTTACGTTTCTACAGAGATATTTTAATTCAGATTAAAAGTGTTTATATCAACCTGAGAGAGGACTAGGACTTGTAACTCCAAGTAATATGGAAAGTACTAAAATGAGATAAAATAAAATTTAAAAAAAAAAAATAAACCTCCATCCACCACGGTAACCAGCACTTTGATTTATAGCTAAAGTATTTACATAATAAAAATATTTCACACGGTGTAGTGGAAAACCATCAGAACTTGAAAAGGCATGACAAAACCCAGAATTTTGGCCACAGTAAATGCTAGAAAAAAAATCAAAGATCAGTTACAGTTTGGGATGCTTGAAAATAAGGAAAATCATAACAATAACAAAAAAAGTCTTAGCTGTATTTTGGACAAACCACCCCTGCAGGCCTGGCTCTACATGAAGCAATTTGAATAATCAGTTAATGGGGCATAATAGCCAGACTAAGGTCTCTGCTGTTGGTTGTTAGAAACTTGTCAGGAATCTGAAGTTAAACAGAAAAAATGCTTAGCATCAGAGGCTCAGCTGTGTTCATTGTTTTCTGGTAAAACCAAAATAACGTCACAATCTCTTCCTGCATCTTGACAATCCTCAAGCATCAGAAACATGTATTTCCTAACAAACAGATCCTTACGACTTCTCAGCACAGCTTTCCTTTATATAGACAATAATTTTCCAATCCACACTGTAAAGGGTGTGAAAGCCCCTGAGCCCAGTGTCCAGCAATGTTCAATGGCACTGTGTTCAGCCAGCTGTGAAATTTGTGGGAAACTTTGGAATTCCCTGTGCTACTCTTTGCTCAGAGGAAGAGTCGTAACAGCCTTCCAGACAGGACTCTTAACAAAAGCACAGTTCATAGGTACATAAATCCCTGCTGTGATTTTGCTCTTCTGCTGCTGGTTTCCTTATCACCGTAGTTCTGAAGGTCAAGTTTCTTCACACTGAAAAAAGTGGAAGCCCCAGGTGAACCTGGACAGTTGGTCTTCCTCATACCTTTTTAGCCCCATGGTCTAAAAAAAAAAGATAGCTTTTGAAATCCAGATTTGGTCACTGATTCAAATACATGCCCTTGCTCTGATGTGCTCTTAAGAAGAAAGTCAGTTCTTCCACTTGTTAGGTTTCAGACACAGGAATGCTGACAAGTCGTAACCAAGGCCTTATTATCTCTAGATGAACACGTACAGTGTTACATGATCAATCTTAGAAATTCTTTTTGTGATTTTTGATGATATAAAGCAAATCAAAGCTATGAAAAAGCAGAAGAAAATAGAGCCTAGTAAAGTGAGGTAGATATCTAAACCTAGCTATTCAAAACTTTATAAACCTCAGTCTTCAATTGTAACTAATTCCACAAAGCTTTAACAGAGGTATTCATTTAAACGTTGGTATGAGACATCAGTTTAAATCTCACAGACGGGGATGGTTGCTGTGCAGTACTGAAGAAAGGGAAATGCACAGCAAAATGTGAAATATGCTAATTCAAAAAACTCAGAGGAGTACTTGCTTCTGGTCTGCAAGTATAGGGCTCCTGCAAAGTACCTGTTCAGTGTCAAGACAGCACTGAGAACTTCTGAATTACCTACCTTCTACTCCCTTGAAGCCAGACATGACAAGACTGAAAGACAGACAGCCAATTTGTTTTTTAATGCTTATATAGCCAGAAATCACTGCATACAATAACACTATTGATCTAGTGCAAGTTCCATGCCACTCCTTACATTTTTCCCTGACTCTATCCATTGCGTGGTTGGAAAAAAATAGCTTTACTTTAAAAAGAAAAAAACCCACCAAACAACCAAAAACATGGAAGAATTTGTTTAAAAGTCTACCACTTAAGAAACAGCATGCTAGACCACAGACTGAAAGCACTCAGTTTGGACCAGCGCAGAAAACCTTAGGAGATGCCATCAGTGAAACATTTAAAACATCTTTTAACAGGACTGACACCTCCACCAGGCTTTTTGGTGCTTTATGCCATCATGGTAAAAGAAAGACATTTTGAGCAAAGCAAACCTGTTGGTGGTCAGGACTGGCAGTTTAAAGTACCCTGCAGCAGCTACATGACCTTAAACCAACCTTCAGCCTTTCTTAGTCAGGAGTCGTTACCAACTTATTTATTTAGTAATGGACATATAAGACTGCGTTTCAATCTCCATGAAAACTATTTTAACACAAAGCAGATTTGGGTCCTTATTTGTTTTGAACCGCAGGCAAAAAAGCAATACATATAGTTTGAAAGGAAGTTGCCAAATGGATGAAAAAGGCCTGCAAGTCTTCCTTTTGGTTGCCCTTAGCATTTACGGTCAACTTTTCCCATCTCAAAACCCAAAGTCTGCTCTCAATTAGCTTGGCATAGATCAGAGCAGCTCCACTGACTTCAGACAGCTTTTCTGGATATAGAGCATTGTGAGACAGAACAGAATTTGGCCAATATTGTCCTTTTTTGTTTTACCGGCACCATGGATTTTAGTCTTTTTGGAAGACATATCAGTTGACACAAAGCAGATGACTGTGGACAACCTGTTTGATGTGGTAAACAAAAGCAAAGTAACTGCCAAACCAGCTGACAGAGTTAGAAAGAAAAGAAACATGAACATTGTGGGAAGGAGAATGTTGAGGAAGAACTTGAACCTTCCTTCTACTGATTTTGGTAGTGAAGTCCAAAAATAACCAAGAATATTGCCCTAAATAAAATTTAGTACAGTATAAGAGTGTGACTTTAATCTCTAAGCATGTCCATCAGAAGCAATTCCACCGAACTTGATGGTGCTGATCCACTGCAAAACCAGACACAGACATCTACAACCACATACAAAGTTTAGATACCAGGAGGAGAAGCACAATAAGATTATCATATTAATATAGTTAAATGTTTCTTATTGGTAAATAAAATGTAGTGAAGGAATAAAGAGACTGAAACCCATTTTACAGACTATTTTTTAGAAAATACAGCACTGCAAAAACTTATTGCAAGCTTTTCTGCTTCCTCGAGAGGGACTAGGATTATGAACTAAAAGAAGGTCTTTAGGAGAAGACAAATCTTTCCTGGGTAAAAAAAAATTACTTTCAGCTCAGAGAGGTAATAAGTAATTTTTATCCATTTGTAGATTCCTCTCTACAACATTAACAATGGAAGACGATGGGACACAACATGCATTTCTTTAGACAAAAACAGGTGATGACTGCATCATGTTTCAACACCTGATTTTAAAATTTCATTAGAAATTGCACTAATTCCTAAACTTATGATGTTCTATTAAAATCCTTTAAACCAATCAATATGTTGCATCAGAGACCACGTGCTTTGATTTGAAAATTTAATTCCAGTAGGAATTCTGCAGAGAAAAAAAAATCTTTCCACTTAAGAGTAATTGAAACTTTATAAATATGTAAAAACCTCATGCGGATCACTCAATTTCACTATTTCTCTGTTTAAATGTTAATGAATGGAAGCCACAAAGTTTTTACTTTATTTTTTTTGTCCCAGTTTAGCTATCGGGTGCAGAGATACTGTTGCATTCATCTGGACTATTTCACTGAAAGTTGAGAGACTCGCTGGGATATGATAAAGCAGGAATGCTGGTTTTCTTCTTCCTATGACAACTACAGATTTTGGCAGATGATGAGACTAAAAATGTGAAGGATGGAATCTGCTTTTCTGAAACGTTTGTTTACCAGAAAGCCAGTGGGATTTATAGAAGAGCCAACATTTAATTAGCATAGAACTTGCATCTTTGGGTACCAAAATATATTGTGTGGTCTGTAATGTCTGATAGGGAAAAAGCTGATTTGTTACATACAAGTAATACTCCCTTGTCTTTACCTGCTGAAGAATGAGGGGGTACGACATGTACAAGATTTTTATTTAACTAATATGGGAAGTAAAGATCAGCATTGCATACATTAATAATTGAATGCCTCATTCCTTACAGACACAGGTGAGCAAGTTAGAGATTCCAAATGCAGTTGAAGAGAATTTAATTATTTTCCTAGAGAAGATTCCAAGGAAAACTGCAACATGAAATTAAATTTGCTTAAATGTAGACTTCTTTCCTGGACTTAAACTTAAATTATTCTTTAACTTATGTCGCTGTGAGAGAGGGTGTGAAGCAGAACTGGATAATTTTATTTTGTTTCCCCCAAAAAAAGTAGGCTAATTATTGAAATTACATTATGCTGCTCAAAAAAAAAAAAAAAAGTCTTACAATACAAAAGAACTTAAAAAACTAATCTGATGTGGTTCTACCCCTCTGATACTAAAAATCAGCTCAAACACAAACTCATTAGGAGTTACTGAAGACTGCAAAATAAAGCTAATAAGCAAGCATTAACAGTGAGAAAGCATATTGGCATAAGCTGTTTGTCCTGCATGACTTGTATTTATTTAATTACAGTAAGAGAATTGACAATTTCTGTTGAGGTGAAGCATTTCCTCACTTCAGTGATATCTGCTCCATGTCCATGGATACAGATCCCCATTCACATTAGTAAGTCATGAAGCAATGCCCAAGATCATGCACAATGTATCCCAGCACAGCAGCTGAAGCCCCCAGCTGTACTCACACTGAAGATGCTTTAAACTCAGCCTCAAATGCACTGTCATCCATGTCATCCTGTGAGACTACAGGGCTCTCAATCGCCAGCCCACTAAAGACCCGGCAAATAGGTGGTGATGGAAAACAAACATGAATGCATTGCCCAAATGCAAGAAGAAAAAAAACCAAACAAACCCAAACAAAGAAGCTATTATGCAGTATACAATACGCAAGTGCTGTTTAAATTATCTGGAGTCTTATATTTCCATATTGCCTGAAGCCATTAAATTTTTAGTCAACTCAGTTTGCTTTGCAAGAAGGTCTATTTCACATGTAACGCAGGATCTGAAGACTCACATCCAGTGCTAACCAACACAAACCTTCAAAGAACTTCCAAAATGTTATGATAAACACAAGATATGGTCTTCATGGAGCATGTTTTGGTTTTGCAAAATGCACCTTCAGCCATAGGATGAAAATGTCCAGATTTAGTTATCTGCAGCTTGTGCATCTCCACCTGAGCTAGTCAGCCAGATTCCCTTTATAGTCAACAGAGAGAAAGAGCTAGTTTCAGAGCATGACTCATCTTGGTTGAAATTTCAGGCATGTAGGATACGTTAGATAACTGAAGGCCTACCAGCACTTGCTGCACTCCATGGACATCAAAGGGAGGTGAGCTGATCAGACTTCTAGCTTAGGTAAAATTAATTCCAGCCCTCTTGTGCAGTAGTCAGACCTGCTGAGTATCTGCAGCTGCCTTTTTCTTAAGCATGCATGGCCCAAACCAACTGTTATGGGACTGGCAAAGACACCAGCTTTGACTGACTCCAGTGTTACAGACTGCTGCTTTACCAGTCTCTTTCAGTAGTTATAAAGAATTAGATATATTCACTATAGGAAATATATACAGTGTAGCCTCAAAGGAAAATATGCTGGAATGCTGACTGCAAAGGGAAAAAAAGCCTGAAAAAATTAACTGTAACATATATAGAACAAACAGCTCTGCATGAATGTGACTATGCCCTTGTTACAATCTCTTATAATGTGTGTATATTGATTATAAAATCTGTCAATAGATGAAATCATGCTTCGTTAGTTCCCATATTAAATGCTCTACATCATGTGGTTTGGATCCATTTACTTAGGGTATATGGTGCCAAAGAACTTAGCTACGTAGATAAGTCACCTACAAAGCATTTTTTTGTTCTTTCTTTGTTTGTTTTAACCTTAACGGATGGAAATAAAGAAAAGCATGTCAGATTAATAAACTACATAACAACAAACACAATGGAAAGTAATAGAGGAAAAGGAAGGAGTATTTCTCCAGCTTATGCACTTACCTCTCACTGAGATCTTCAACGTGCTGTCCATGGCCTAGCATGAAGCTAGTGTTTGCCTGACTGCATGGGCTCGCAGGGGCTGATAAAGTGCTTTTGACGTTCTGTACTGAGTGCCTGCGGCTACGTCTGCGTTCTAGCCCCCTTCGCTCATTTGTACCAACACTGGCCCTTCTTCGGTCCTTGCGCCCACTGGGAGGGAGGTCAGCACTCTCATCTCCATCCTCATGTCTCAGTGTCATCTGAGAAAGAAAGGAAGAAAGGTGAGGCTTCTGACACAGTTCCTTTAGGTACCACAGGTCTTCAAGTCTAGGCTTTAAAAGTTAATGGATCTCAACAGGACTGACTTCTATTAGCATCATAATTTCTGCAGGTAACCCTGTAAGTTGCTGTCTATCCATTAGTACAGTGTAGCAGCTCTAATAATGGAATTATATACTGATGCCTTGTACAGAACGCTACAGGACCTGTAACAACACATGCATATATCTCCTAATTGTTTTTTTTTTAACACAGGACTTAATTTTCAAGGAAGCTGAGCTGTGTTGGACACTTAGCTCTATTTCCTTCCAAAATACTTAGCTGAAGTCTTGGCTGTAGTGAAATCAACAGAAAAAACTCTCACGCACTAAATAATTGAACATCACCCCATGTTCAGACATGACACTTGTTATGTTTGAGTGGAAATTGCTGTCTGCTACTTTAGAAAGTGTTTTAGAACAGTGCCATCATTTCTTCCCAGCAAAGGAAGAGATCGGCAGATGTGTATGTAACTACATTCCTCTAAAAATTTTCATTCTGACAGAAATCCCTGCAAAGAAAACAAAGGAAAAAAACCCTAACAAACAAAACTATTTCTGTGGACTGGTACACAATGGATTAATAGAAAAAATGCAGACCACACGTCTCCTCTAAGCCTCCCAAGTTTTAGACGAGTGTAACTACTTTCACGTATGCCTTTCAGTGGAAAAATCAGTATTTCCTGCCAGTTCAGAAGTACTGTCAATACAAAGGAACATATGTATAATATCAGAAAAGAATGATGTTGACAATAGCGTGGCCACGGTGACATTTGGCATTAACTTCTGACACAGGGTCATCAGTTGGAAATAGCAGAGGAGTAAAATACAGGTGACACACCCAATATCTTGAACCACAGCACACTGCTGACACGCCAATGTGACATACCTCTAGCAGAAACAAAGCAAGTGCCTACCTCAGGATATATGAGGAGAGATATCACTGGCAAACACAACAGAGTTACTAGTGGTTCTCATGTTAAATGCAGCATAACATTTAAGTAACCTTTATATGAGAAAGTCCCAAATAGAGTTACGGAAAAGGGCAATGTGGGTGATTAGAAGAATGTGTATCTCCTTGTTTCTATTAGTCTTGTTACTTGGATAATTCTTGCCAGAAATGACCTTAACAAAACAACGGCAGGGGAAGTGTGATATCTCTCCTTAGGGCATAAAATGTATTTCAGTGGGGAAGAAAGATTTTTCAGATGAAAAACATTGGCAGAAAAAAAAAAAAAGACTGCGAATAGGCATGTCTAAATTCAGTCTGGTCATCAAGAAAAAGCTGGTACCCAACTCAGCCTACTGCTAATTTTGCAACCAAGCCTTTCACTAGACACAGCATGAGCAAAAAACCCCCTGCTTTTAAGATTAATGACCATCTTTTAAAAAGGATTTTATGAGCTGATGCCTCTGACAATAAAAAAAGAACATGGAGCTCTCTCATTCTTATGTTTCAATTTTGGCCTGACTCTTCCTGCAAACTGCTATATACAAAACTTAACTGCTAAAGTTAGAGAAATGACATCGGTATAGAGTTGATGGAGAAAATGGAGAATCAAATCTACCAAATCCTTTGCTGAACTTAGACAGAGATACAATAATTTCATTTCATCACATCAGAACATGGATTCACATTTATATTACATTAACTTCAGCTTACACCTCCCTGCTCCGACACTTACTGAAGTCCGAAAAGAGGCTAATTATTAAGAAACTGGATATCCTACCCTTACATATAAATACTTCAGAAGCAGTTACTTTATACCTAGGTGGTGAATGTGGTCTCACTCATTACTCCACTGCTGCAAACTGTATAAGATCTGGTCCAGTGTAAACTCTTAAACAAGGACTTGCTGGGTATTCAGCTGCAGAATAAGTAGTATTTGTGAAGCTGAGCTCAGCCGAACCTTTTTCATGAGCTGAATACTTCTGCACATGGAAAGAACTTCTACTTACTTCAGGATGTGTAACGAGCAGTCTGAGAAAGTTTTAATTGCAGGCAGAACTGCCTCTAAGGAGGCTAGTAAATGTGCTTCTTTGGCTTGGAGTATGCCCCAGCTTTAGTACGAAATGCATTTGCATTAAACCCAACTATGTACCATAGCAGGTCATGTACATGAATGTGTATACTACTTCTAGCAACCAGATGTTTTCCTTTTAAAATAAAAGAGATAACAAAACTTCACCTAGGTTACATTCCTCCCCCCTCCTCTTGGCTTTGAAGTTTGCACAGGCTGTAAGATGCATAAAACAGGGCATGTTATGTTACCTCATAAATGTTAAATTGCTCAACTAAGTCCAAGTCTGTTCCTTTCTTGTTCAAGTGTCTCTGTGAAATAGCTTCAATGCCTAGCTCCTCCAGACAGTCCACCACGTCATAGAAAGAGTCTTGATCTGGCAACCCCGACAGCGTCTAAAAATCAAAGGAAAACCAGTTAAATCTGTTTGTTTTGAAAAGAACTAAACAAAGGTTTTAAAAGCAGGTGGCAAGTGGTGCTATGTATGATTTCAATAAAGTTAAACCCATGATGTGGGATTAGAGACACCGCTAGAAAATAAAAAACAAGTGGCACAGCTTTTAACAAACAAATCTGTGCATGGTGCAGAAAAATGAATAATTGGCAAAACAAATCAATGTTGTTATTTCATACAAAAAAGTATGGAAAATGTGGGTCTTTAAAATACACAGTTGGATTCTTCCTGGCTTCATTCAAGTACATATTTAAAGAACAGAGAATGTTAAAGCATCGAACACAGGGATAAAAGCAAAGAGAGAGAGAGAAAAAAATGGTTCAGCTAAAACCAGTTAAGCTGATTTCCTACTGATTTCTCTAAATTTTGGCCTTAAGAAGAAAAATGCACAGCTGTGTGATGTCAGGACAGCAGGAAATATCCTGCACCATGTGCCTACTGTCCTCCACACCTGCAGCAGAAGTCATCCCCCCGGTGCACAAATCGTTGCATATTACAGGGATCTGACTCTCCTCCTCCCTCTCTCCAACTTGAAAAGTCTTACTAAAGGTGCACTACTTCCTTAACTCCTAGAAAATGTTAAGAGAGTTACTGATTCCTGGTTGTGGGGCAAGTTGTTAACAGTCACACGGGAGAAGAGCTTTTGTACACTACAAAATAAAGAATGACAATAGTAACAGCTACTGAAAATGAACTGTTTGACTTTCAGAGCTTTCTATGGTAACTGCTGTATGTTCAAAAGAAAGCACTTTTCTTACCATAGTCATTTCCCTTTTTTTTTTTTTTTTTTGTGAATCGAGAAAACTGAGAAAAGGAAGATGGTCTTCTGCAGCATACCATTTGTACCATAGTATGCCACTGCAGTGTATGCAGCAAAAGAGACTAAATCAAACCACTCACAGCTTTACCGCAGGGTGATGTGTGCACTGCACAACTTTTTTCAGAGCACAAGTGAACTTCATCCACCAGAGACCGTCAGACACTCACAAGGACAACAGAAAACACTGCTATTCTGGCTTGCCACTGATTTCTGCTCATCTTGTGCTGATTTTTTACTGCTCCTTATGGATGACTCAGAAAAATTAATGTAATCCTGCGCATGTTGAGCAGAAACTACTGAATATACTGTGCAACCTACTCGCAGAGGAACATACACCTCATTGCAAGAACCAATTCAATTTGCAGAAACAGCAGTTTCTGCAAAATACACGACAGTGCAAACTGGAAGCAAATTATTCTTGATTGTATCACCAGATATGCTCACTCTGAAGTAGCTTCCTCTCTCCTATTTAATTAGCAAAGTAACTTATCTTTGCTCTCAGTAGAGGAGAGAAAGAGCAAGAGACAGAGACAGCACATACAAAAAGCAGGGCTCCTCAAAAAGTGTTTCATCTTCTCATGTCCAGGATGAGATGAACTGCACTCTGAAACTCCTGCTTTTCTGAAGCCTGGCTTTTCCAAAGAGGCTCTGAGCAGCAGAGTGCAGGAGGGAGCAGCTCTGCTAACTAACTCTAGGATGGTTCCCACACCAAGAACCTTTACATTCAGAAGAAGTGGTCTGAATTATGTGACCAACAAGAGAGAGCAACAGACAGCTGGCATACGGGCTAAAACTTAAACAGGGGAAGTTTAGATTAGATATAAGGAAGAAATTCTTTCCTGTTAGGGTGGTGAGGCACTGGAATGGGTTGCTCAGGGAAGCTGTGAATGCTCCATCCCTGGCAGTGTTCAAGGCCAGGTAGGACAGAGCCTTGGGTGATATGGTTTAGTGTGAGGTGTCCCTGCCCATGGCAGGGGGGGTGGAATTAGATGATCTTAAGGTCCTTTCCAACCCTAACTATTCTATGATTCTATACCCTGCCCTGTTAAAGTGTCTGATGTCTGGTGAGGTTCACCACAACAGAAATACAAACACCACTAAAGTGTTAGGATTATACGTTCAGGGTTATATGTTCAGGCTCTAATTAAGGATTTGTCTTATCCAGGACAGTACTTAAGCCCCTGTTTAAAGCCTACTGAAGACCATGAGGCTAAATTTTCCTGAACAGTATTGAAAATAGATACCATGTATATTTTGTTCCTTCCATCAAGCACTGAATAAGCATTTGAAGATTCAGCAAATGAAGCTATCACACTGTAAATTCAATGGAACTTTAACACAGGTATGGAAATACTATAGCACAAAACGATATTCACCTATCTTTCTCTTGCTTTAGAAAGAAGTAGACAGCAACTACGCTGACCTGAGTATCTTCATGCACAGTAAGATTTGATGTCTTACATGCAAAAGGGTGGACAAAGAGTCAGATCTGTACAGATCTTAAAATAACAGGAAACGGTCTTAATGTTGAGATGCAGATCACTCATTTTCAGATACAGCTTTTTAAAAATCTGAGCTAAGCCAGGGCATAAACAGGGAAAACAGAGGCATAAGGTAGTATTTACTGGCAAACTCTACTTTTTGTCAGCAGCCTTTTATTGGTTAATATAATTTTAAATCATGAAGTAGTGGAAATCCCAATTTTCACTGCATACTACCAGAACTGGGCAACTGAACTCCCAAGTACAGAAATCAAATAGTTTTCATTTGCATAGTTTGTCATTAAATTCACAGACCCATTTTCAGAGCCTAGTGCATATCAAATTCAATTTCTAACATTAGAAAATTGGATGTAAAAGGGCACCACTGGTGTCACAACAAGGTCAGTTCAGTCTAGCACACAAGAAAGATTTTTGCAGTAACTAAACACAAGGGACATAAAGTGCTTGCATAAATGACTGACAAATTCTGGCTTGTGATATCAGAAAACAAGAGTGGGTTCCTATTTTCTTGGTGGCTTTATAAAGGAAAGAAAACTCACAAACAGTAGAGTGGAGGTCATAAATTGTGCAGGTCTTTCCAAGGTCCTTGCACCTTCCTGAGTACCTGGTTAAGTTACAAATGATACTCCAATACAAAATACACATACAAGTCCCACATAGTTCCTCCTGCTCTGAAGGCTGAACCTTACAAAAGGAAAACCCATCTAGAGAATTAAAATTGTGTGTTTAAACCACACTGTGTGGTTTGCTTGATGAACTATTTTATAGTCTTACTCGCTTAGACCAAAACTGGGATTTCAAATCTGAAACCATCAGAACTCAGGCATGCAAAGGAAGCATGAATATGAATGTTAAGACTCACTCATATTCCTCTCCAATTTTGGACTGAGTAAACATCCCTGAATTAAGATTTTTATTTGTTTGTTGTGTGATTTCTTTCTTGTGGGAAAGCCTGTGCAACTCTGAGCTCTTCCCTCTCAAGCTGCTCTTTCAGAACGGTGAACTAAACTAAAACCAAAACCCCACTCCAAGAGTTTTGAGCCTCATATCTTTGCTTACCAACGTTTTTACCAAAGCCTACACGATATGTTTCACCTACCACTAACTGTAACAGTCCCAACAGAAAGAAAGGCAAGAAAACTAATGAAGTTGTACTGGGGATAATAAAAAAAAAATTAGAGTTTAATAAGAGTGTAACAGTGAAATGCTTTCCTAGATGATAAAACCTATCAGACAACATGCTCAACTGGCAATAGCAAAATATTCTTATAAATACATATCCTCAGTTATGTTTATGAACAAAACCTGGCATAGATTAGTGCTACGCTATGTGGGTCTTCAGACTGAAAGTCTCTGCAGTTTTTTAAATGCATGGCCCTGGATGATACTAGCTGGCAAAACTAAAAGTTTGGTGTCATTTACAGAAAAATCACAGTATAAAGCAGTGGTGCTAAGAGGATACAGACAACAGAAAGTCCAACTGGTGTGCAATGCCTTATATGCAAATCGTAGACTTGTACTGCTTTGGTTACTAAACACCCAACAGACTGGGCTTCACTAGGGGGCCCATGCACTAGACAGACATTAACTAAATCTTACATGCTATGGCAAAAAACCACTACACAGTTAACAAACATGCTTAAGAGCATTGGACAGGTTTTCAATTGCTTTGGGATAGGAAGAAGCCTGTCTCATGTATTTGTTTTCTGGGGAACCACAACTTCTAAAACATCTGGTGCAGTCAATGTCAGACATGGGATATAAGATAATAATTTTTCCACTGTGGCATTTGTGATTTTCTTAAGGCAGGTCATCCAAAACTAATGTGCCAGCTTTAACATTAACGCCACAGTGCCCTGAAACAGCACTTTTCCAACTACAGCTGATGGATGGACGGCTGCTGGCTGGTACTCTAAGCTCCCATTAGTAACCACTGGCCTGGAAGCTAGTGCTTAAATTCTAGTCTTATGCAGGACCTGATAAAAGCCCTTCAGTTCTTAATCCAACTATAGTAAAACATTATTTTTTACATAATTCATAATCATTTCTATCTATTTTTTAATGTATTTATGATATGAGAGAACATGCAATATTAAACAGAGGTAAAAAGAAAATCAACAGTAATCTTACACCTTCAAAGGTTCCAGTGTAATTTCAATAATGAAGAGGTTTTATAGCAGTTAAATAGAAAGTGAATTGAACGCAACACAGAATATTGTTCTGAATTTGACACATAGGTTGTGTTTTGTTTTTTTTTATAAAAAGGAAACACAAAGGCTTTAATCTGTCTGAACTTCAGTAATGAAATGAAGAAAGTAGAGATTAGAATAAGAAATAACAGATCACAGGAACTAACTGAAGGAAGATAACAAAGGTTATATTGGAACTTTACATAACCAGAAGCATTTGCATTGGGATTAATGCCATTTAAAACATTCATTAATGCCTAAATCCTATGAAATTAAGAGAGGGTTAATGAAATGTTAGTATAAGTAAATTGGTTAAGCAATAAAAAAAGACATGGAAAGGATAAAAGGATTGGAGCAATTCTTATATCTGGGTAGCTGTGTTCTCTGCTTTTGAGCAGGAAGGAAAACAGTCTGTATATGTATACACAGAGAAAGAAAAAGAAGTAGAGGGATGCTTCCTTAAGACAAATCTGTCGTGAGGACTCTGCCTGCATTGAAAACTTTGACATTTCCTCGCCTAAACAAGCTGAAACCATCTGATCCTTCTTTGTATTCTCTGTGGGGGAAAAAATTACAACTGTGACATGCTGCTTGCTGTTTTCTCTGTAATTATGAAAAAAATCCCATTAAAAACATCATAAAGCTGTCCATAAGCCAGATCATAATTATAAGTGTGGCATTGTGGGATTCCTCTCTTCCTTGATCTTCATAACTGCCTTGCTCCTTTGACTGCAAGATGCTTTTTCGTTTTGTGTGTATTTGAAGAACTACCTCCTCCTAAAAATAGCTTTAAATGCATCAAAAACCTCAGACTAAAGGAATCAACTATAGGATAATAAAAAAGTCAACAGAACAAAATTTCTGAAGAATTCAAACACCAAGCAGATTACAAGTGCAGAAACGATGAAGAGAATTACCTCACAAAGAGGAAGCAGTACGTGAAACAACAAGGTATAAAACTGAGACTTTAAAACTAATCGCCTCAGCTTTAATAGCCGCTACAGACAGAAGCATATACAGCTGGTGGTGCTTTTCAGAAAGAGTACATTAGTGAGATAAGGTGGATTTTTAAAGTCAAGAAGATCTTTACTATCATGTAAGCAGAAGCAAGGGCAACATGGTACTGTACTTAAGTACAGTAACACCAGTGATGGCACAAGGAGAGGTTAGTCCCTCTTGGGCATCTTTCCTGGACAATATCTACCATAAGGAAACCATTTCATCAAAAAAAAACAACCCCAAAGCAACCCAAGGCTCCAGCCATGTAGCCATAAGCGTAATAAGCTGGCAGCTTTATTTGTAACCTCCACCAACAAACTCAGGATCTTTAAATGAATATAATGAATAATAATAATAATAATAAATTCTATAATACTCTGGCTTATTAAGTACAACCATAAACACAAGCTTATTTTGATTTGCTAGTAGTATATTGATCTTCTGTGTGCTTTAAAAAAAAGCTACTTTAAATTTTAGTCATCCTAAGATTTGTTTAGGACTAGACATTAATTTTAAAGGATTTTATACAAAGAAATTTCTACAGCACAAGAGAATACTTTGGAAAACATTTGATTTTACTGCAAAATTGCTACTACTAGAAAATATAAAGAAAAGAAAAAAAAAGTAACCTCATTTTTTTTTTAAGCAGAAACACTCGTACTAGCACTCAGACCTGTGAAATTCATCATATTTGGTTTGCAGTAAAAAAAATTTAATGATCTGAACCAGAAAATTATGCACAATGCAAACTTATGTGAGCATGTGATCTTTTCACCAGTGCTTGCCTTCTTTTTCCCCTTGGATAAAGTATAGAGTTAGTTTGTTAAGTTTTGTTTTGCGCTGGGTTGTCAGTGTTGGGAGAGGAGCCATATCGCAACCCATTTCTGCACAGCATTTAGCAAAATAGCAATTTTGCTCCCAGTTGCTGCCTCTGGGTGACTGCAACAGAAGTAACAAGAACATGCTGATTGCTTGTCCTGCAGCTTCTCTGGGACAAGTCTCCTTTGTCATATATTCTCAACAGGGAAGACCATTATACAATGGAAAATACTAACATTATTTCCACCAGTTATGCTAATAAAGTAAACAAACCTTGTTAACCAAGGTCATGGCATAAACCAGTAGCTCAGTATCAACCCCGTCCTTCTCCTCCAGGATCTCCATGATGTTGGACCACGGCTTGGCACCTAGAAGAAAAGCAGAAACCACTGGTGATGGTGATAGAAATGGAAAGCTATAGCATCAACATTTATCCAAGATGTAGCACAAATTGGAATGTTCCCAGGCAGAAGATCAAGTGGAAAGATCCAGCTTCCTCTACAGTCTCCCAGGCTTCACAGAGAGCAAAGTTAATGTAGACAGTGAAAGCTACAGTACATCCTAATGCAGGGATCTAAAATATGCCAGGTGGTACTTAGATGTACCAATTTCTCTCCCTTGATGATGAAGGAAGCTTTGTTAGACCAGTTAGATTAACCCTGAACTTCTAAAAATCAGGTTGGAGCAATTTTACCCTACCTGTCATAGGTTTACATAGGCTTAGATAAACCTTAAACAAAAACCTATAAGTTATGCTTTCAGTGTGCTTGTTGCTCACATTCCTACTGCTATTAGAGTTATACTGCATTAGGATCCATCCTTTTAACAAAACAATGCAGCAGAGAATGACAGTTTTCACAAATTACAGCTTGTGTGTCTTGATTAAAATAAATGAGCAATGAGGAGGAAAGATTTTTGCTGTGGTTCCTACTTAAATTGTTTCAATAAATATTCCCTCCACAGAACTTTCAGAACATTTCTCTAATTTCTCCACTAAGGTCAAAATTTGTGCTTCTTGTTATGACGTATTTGCTTCTTTCTGCATGTTGATTTGCATTTGCATGGCCATCTGATGCCTAAACCAAGTGGTCTAGTGAGTTATTGTGCTGAAAACATTAGAGAGGCAACACCAGCCAGACTCAAGATAACCTCTTGCGTGGAAGGTGCCTTGTAAAACTGTCCTATTTTATTTGACTAAAAGGCAGATAGCTGCATTGACTGAAGAAAAAAAAAACAAACAACAAACAACCCACAAAAAAACACAAACAAAAACACAAACAAAACCAACAGAAAATTCTTTTATCCAGGAAACTGAAGTAAATAATGGACTATAATTCAGGTTTTTTTTTGGCGCAAAGCTAAAGGTGAGGAAAATGAAGCAGAAGGCTAGCCTTAACTTAGAGATACCCAGCTCAACTACACAAGCATCCCTATGAGAGTCTTTGAATTTCAGAGGGAAACATGGAGAATATTACAATAGCCCACATCCCATAAACACTACAGGGATGACCATAGTTTGAGTATAATCAGGCAGTGAAATGCAAATGATTCCTCACAGCCACCTGCTGCTGGTTATAAGTGACCCTGAGGTTAGAAATCTATTACTCTTACAGTGGCAATGGCCACTGTTTATTCATGCTGATGTTTTATTATATACATATATAAGTGTGCTACACAGACATCAAATCTCTGCCTGCCCAAGGATCTTCATTTCCAGTGCAATTGCAATACACTGTGTGGAAAACCCTGTCTATTACTGAATGCACAGACAGCTATATTTCTTCTGTTTTCTCTTCCCCTCTTTTTGAGACAGTCTCTGATCTTTACTACTGAATAATAAATCAGAGCTTCCTTATCTTGTGCAAAATCAAAGAAAGGGGGTGTTCACTCTCAGCTCTGCAGAGGTATTTATATGCATTACTAATTAAATACTAATTCAAATACATGGCTGTAATGAATATACACTCGACACTTCTTTACCAGATTCTTTATATTACCATTTTGTGCGGTACATGTTCAAAGGACATGTGGAACAAATTCACTCGGCTCTCAAATGATATATGATCAGCAGGAATGATATCCTTACTACAAAAATGTCTTCCTGTGGTTTCCAGTGAAAAATGAAAATGGAAGAAAATAAGAAAGAGAAATTAAATGGGGAAACTGTGCCAGTCCGACTTATAATGATGCCATTTGGAAACAAATGAGTTGACAACAACATAAAAAAACATTTAATCCACTGCATTATTCAGTGAAAGTCCTTCTACTCAAATGTGCCTTTATTTTGCAGGCAGGTTTTATGCTTATTGGATCAATTCTGTTTTGTTTTTAAAAGACAGCATCTTAGTGTTTGATTTTTCTTTTTCCTGAATATCTCGATACTTCTCCATTATCATAAAAGAGTATTTTCAGGATCACTTTGCAGTTTTCCTGTAAGGATGACATATCATTTTATTCTATTCATGCTCCTTCTCCATTTCAGAATACATTTTTTAAAACCCCTGTAATAGCTCATCCATCTTTCAAAGGCTTTAATTAAGGTGCTGCTGCTAAACCGAGGCAATTTCCAAAATCTGCCCTTGAATTTGAAATTCTTCATCTATCCCTAACCAAAATCAAGAGGAAGCAGTACTATCAAGTGACTTTGACAGAGCTACTCCAATTTGTACCAGATTAAACCTTTCTTTTCAAATCCTGTTTTCCTAATTATGATCTCAGGCTGAACAGCGAAGAAGTGAACACAGAAATAACCGTAAGGCCATCTACCCATGTAGAGACAAGGCAGCTCTGGTGCAGAAGCCACACCATGAACTTACTGCATTACTATACTTGGGTTAACATTCCTTGCCAATATATAATGAGAGCCTGTAGTTTCCAACCTATGATCCAGACAGCATGGAATATGGGCAGATGTAGAGCAGGTGTCGGCTCTCATCTACTCTCATGCCTTGATTTACAAATACGTTGCTCCTGGAGAGTCACCATTTAAAGATGAGACCACAGGCTGATGTGATGAGTGATGAGGCTGGAGTCTACATGAAAAAATATATTTTTCAAGGCAATATTTTTTGTAATGATAGGAAAACAGTGGAAAACTCCCTCTCCTTTCAAGCTGCATAGAAAACTTTGTGAAAGATACATTGGAAAACCATACAGTAAAAGAACTTGTTGACTTTCCTAAACACATTGGCTGCTGTAGTAAAACAATGATGGTCATAACAGAGATATGAAAAATATGATGCTCAATTTCCCTTTTCCTTTAAAAGGCTAATTGTATGGTGGAGAAATACCAAAAGCTCTCCAGCTTTTAATGGGGAGGAGCCTTAGAGGAACCTATTATGCAGAGCTAATTCTATAGCTTCCATTTTCAGTGTATTGGTCAGACTATTACAAATCCTGAAGTAATCTAAACTCAAATCTAAGTTTGTCAAAGTCTGTGTTAAAAACATAAATCCATTTAACATTTGTATATTACATTTTAAAGTAGTAAGTATAATCATTTACACTTCCTAATTCTCAAAAAGGTTTACTTTCCTGCCTGTCTCCTTCACCTCATTGTGATGTAGAAGAATGATGATGTAAAGAAATGGTGAGGTAGAATCCCAGTGATTCTTCTGGGAGCACATGGGGATGTTCCCATAAAGTTATGATTTCCATGCAGAACTCTGGGCAAAATTGATGGGAGTGATAAAACAGGCTCACTGAAGTAAACCAGCAGAGGTCGAGTTTTGCATGTGCTCTCCTGCCTTCTAATGGGTAAAATGAGAACTGCTCGACTGCCTTTCACAGGCTTCTCACTGGTAACAGCTCATTATCGTGGCTACTCCCACAGGAAGGCTGGAACCTCAACCCTGATGCTACTTGCAGCACTCTGAGTAGTCATGCATGGTGCACAAACACAAGAGATCTATGGGGTTGCAACAATTAATCCTATATTAAATTAATATACTCTAAATAATAATGCTGTCCACTGTTCAAAGTCCCAGCCTTTTTTCACTTTCCCCTTTAAATGTTTTTATGTATTTAATTTAATGCTGTCATTTGTGTCTTACACAAAGTCTTGCTATCCCAACTACTCAGTATGTGCACAGTATGCATAAAGCATGAAAAACTTTGCATGAGGCCAGACTCATACATAAGAACCACCACCATGTTGGACTGCCTGCCTCTAGTAGCCATAGGATGCAGAGGCAGTAATACTTTTGGAAAGACCTCAACATTTTGAGCTCCAGGCCATTTAAATATGAGTGAACATACACATCATAGCTACAAGCATGAGCATTCATTTAGTGGATATTAACCATGTGTGAAATGGTAGGAAAAATGAAGAATTGATGATGCAGCCCATTTACAAATAATATAACAAGTCAGGTAGCAGAAACTCAATTCACTAACAGTATGAGATAGTGTCCAGGTCTGTCACAGGTCTTTAATCTGTCCTAAAAAATGCTTGTGATAAAGGAGACCCAGAGAACAGAGTGCAACGCTATCTCTACTTCCCAGAGCCTGCACAGTCCCAGTATGCTTAAAGTGAAATGAGATCAAATTCTCCTGGGACTCTGAAATAAGAAAGGGTGAAGGGAAGGGGAAGCTAGATGGAAATATTAGTAGCAGCTACTTCCTGTATGATGAGGGCCATGAAGTTATTCATTTACAGTCTGCTTGTATCTGAGAGTAAACCTGGTACACCCGTGGATCTCTCTTTGCATATGGATGTATTCTCACGTAGAAACCACAGATGGGATTGCTTTGAAACCAGGCTGAATTAATATTGGGTTCTTTATGTTAATCATGTGTGGTACACATGTTGAGAATTATGTCATATCTCATCACCTTGTATGTACATGAAACGTTGGACCTTTTTCAAAGCAGCGCTAAACTTAATTATATACCTGCAAGATTTATGAGAACATTTCAAGAAAAGGCACATTGATTTTTCTTCCTCTGTATTTCTGTTCCATTAAATCAGTCATTAAAGGCAGGTACTCCTCAGTTACAAGCCACTAATTTCAAAATATAGCACAACAGAGCATTCTCCTGCAGAAACTGGCTGCTTATAGCTTGGATGGGTGTAGCCTTCACTGGGTGAAAAACTGTTTGGATGGCCAGACCCAAAGAGCTGTGGTGAATGGAGTTAAATCCAGTTGGCGGCCTGTCTTAAGTGGTGCTTCACAGGGCTCAGTACTGGGGCCAGTTCTGTTCAGTATCTTTATCAGTGATCTGCGTTAGAGGATGGAGTGCACTCTTAGGAAGTTTGCAGATGACATCAGGTTGTCCATAAGCATTGATGTATTGAAGGTAGGGAGATCTGTAGAGGGACCTGGACACACTGGATTGATGGGCCAAGGCCAATGGTATGAGGTTCAACAAGTGGAAGTGCTGGGTCCTGCACTTGGGCCACAACAACCCCATGCAATGCTACAGGCTTGGGGAAGAGTGGCTGGAAAGCTGATCAGTGGAAAAGGACCTGGGGGTGCTTAATGATGGAGCTGAACATAAGCCAGCTTGTGCCCAGGCAGCCAAGAAGGCCAACAGCATCCTGGCCTGTATCAGCAATAGTATGGCCAGCAGGGCCAGGGCAGTGATCATCCATGCCCCTGTACTCAGAACTGGTGAGGCTGTACCTTGAATCCTGTGTTCAGTTCTGGGTCCCTTACTACAGGAGAGACCTTGAGGTGCTGGAGTGGGTCCAGAGAAGGGCAACAAAGATGGTGAAGGGTCTCCAGCACAAGTCTGATGAGAAACAGCTGAGGGAATTGGGTTTGTTCAGCCTGAAGAAAAGGAGGCTGTGGGGAGACCTTACTGCTCTCTACAACTGCCCGACAGGAGGTTGCAGTGAGGTGGGTGTTGGTCTCTTCTCTCAAACAACAAGCAACAGGACAAGAAGAAATGGCCTCAAGATTCACTAGGGGAGGCTTAGATTGGATATTAAGAAAAATTTCATCACATAAAGCATTCTAAAGCATTGGAACTGGCTGCCCAGTGAAGTACTCATCATCCTTGGAGGTATTTGAAAGGTGTAGACGTGGCACTTAAGGGATGTGGTTTAGCAGTGGCCTTGACAGTGCTAGGTTAATGGTTGCACTCAATGATATTAAAGGTCTTTTCAGCCCTAAACAATTCTATGATACCATTACATTATGACCTAAAAAAGGAACTAAATACAAAACAAGACAAAAATAATCTTGTTTGTAGCTAAGTGCAACTGCTTTAAAAATAAAAATAACAATAACAAAGGAAAACTGGATATTTGGGGCTAAGTTATTTGCAAGAGTTCATGGAACAATGTGCCAACCCACAGGTATGAGAATCACATAAATCCTCTCCTCATGCTCCTAACATGTATCCATTTAACTACATGCATCACTTTTGTCACATTCTCAGTTGCTACTTAAGTTGTTTTATTTCTTTGGGGCATGTAAATGTTTGCCTAAGGCTATTATACAGAAACAGAAGGGAACACACAGCACATGGTAGTGTGTTTAGGGTCTTCTTTTCTTTCTCTTTTTTCTCAATGAGGTTTACTAGCATGTGAACAGATGGCAATCTGAACATGTTGAGAATACCAGTGAGTTCAGGGAGCTGAGGAAATACTAAGAATGACTGTAAAAATAAATCATAGTGCTCACAATTACATTAATATTGTGATTACATTTATACTTATGGCATTGTAAGGTTTATTGGTTTTAATTCACAACAGAAAACCAACATGAAGACTTCACTCTTTGAAGTGCTATGCTGTTTTTTAATTGCCCCTGCCTGCTCCCCTGCCAGAACAGATAATTTAGAGTTTCTCTTTTCAATGTACTCATTCTGATAGCTGAAAGCAAAATCTGGCTACTTTCTCCAATATCTGGCACCACCTTTCTCCCCATTCTCCAGCATTTTTTGTTTCACTTTTACCGTATCAAGTCACTCAAACAAGTTCAGCATGGAGGCAGTTGCTCCGCAGAGGGGATCTTGCTTTCAACCTCCATGTGTTTGAGACCACAACAATGGCTCTCCCAACCTCAAAAACTCTCCTTGAGGCAAAGGAATGTTTCTCATCAAGAGAGAATGCCCCAGGAGCTTAGCAATGGCTTTGTGGGAAGAACAAGAAAGAACCATTTTTGTTCTATTTATTTGTAAAAAATACAGTACACATATTCAAGTATTTTTCATAAGCCTGAAGGGTAACAGATTTCATAGTATAATATCTGCTCAAGGGCTTTATTTTAATGTAACAACAGATGGTTTTGCTTTTACTATAAAGCCTGTACTATTACTGACCTCATCTTTCTCTTCAAAGGGATTACACTGATTAGATATCATTTTCTCTTCTAAATCAGGCTGCTGCTTCTCAGAAGGACGTGGAAAGGCGGCCTGGCCTGAATGAGCCTCTGAGGTTGGAAGATGCAATGAGGCTTATTTCAAGTGTAGGTGCAGGGAACGGGCAATGAATGCAGTGCCCAGAAAGGCAGTCAAGTTTCTCAGCTTTTTGCTCCTCATTTCCACTGTAACTCATTCCTCAAAGCAATCTTAAATTGGATGAATACTTAAAACAGGCTTTTAATAAAGAAAATTAAGGGTATGTCACACAAAGCAGGCACCATGAGAGCAAGTCTAGAACCACTGAAATCAGTGATGAAATGCCACCCTGACCTTGGTGGTGCTGGGATTTTGTACCCCCTCAAGTAAGGCTACTTACTTCTCTTTTCATCAACAGTAGATACTGCCTGGATTAAAAGTGGTGCGTTGGATTCGGTATACTCCACAAACACCACCAGCAGCTTCAGTGCTGTCTTCACCACCAGGCGGAACTGGAAGAAAAAAGTGAGACTTGTCATTCAGCAAGCCACAACATTTCCAGATGTGCTAAATGACACTGGGCAAGACGCAAACACAGTGATCCAGATTTGGTAATAATGTGAAAGGAAGAGATTAAACTGTGCCAGGACCGAAAAAAAGGGAAGGTAGCCAGTTGGCTGAAAATTTTGTTCACGGGATAGTGCTCTCCTAGGGAAGTCTCAGTAGCCCATGAATCCAAATGAAAGCTTAACACCGCCACATACAATAAAAGGTTGAATATCCCACCTATGCATACCCCCAACATTGCTGTCCAAAGCTTGATGTACACAGGGCCTACTGAGCTAAGAACACATGTATTTTTTTATTTCTCAACACATATATTTCCCCCTTTCACTGTGAGCTTTTAATCCTGTCAAACTGCTGTATGATGGAATTATGTTTGCCTCATGCTTTCTTCTTTTTGCATATTACTATTTAATGCTTAAATTATTAAATAGATCTATCTTTACTATTTAACACAACTTGGGAGAAAGTGTGTTTAATCTCTGACTATCCCACCCTGTCACAAAATGTGTGATATCGTGGAAAAGAGCATTCTGCCCCCAAGTTTTAAAACTCAGTTTTTTGTACATCCCTATGAGTGTGAGTTCAGCAAAAACTCAACATTGGTAAAATGCACCTACGGGAAATCAACAGCCAACCTATCACTCTCATCACACATCTCCCATTTCAAGAAAGGACCACCTATTAGATAATTTTCCAAGTGCTGAGTAAGAATTTTTAGGGAATCGCTTAGGATAGGTATGTAAAAATCCAACTCTTTACAAGGGAATATTTGGAGTTTTTAATAAAAGGAAATGTGAAAGAGAAGGACTTTTAAATAGGCATACACTCTACATACACAGCTTAGAGGACTTTTACTGAGAGAACTTATTCTAGGTCAGATCAGCTATATCCTCAACGTAAATAATGGATTTAAAGAAAAATAAGAGGCGATACACCACTGATCCCAGATCAGTGGTGATACACCACTGATTCCAACCTACTGCTATTGAATCAAGCTCCAGAAAAGCAGGTATTTGTAAGCTTACTGTATTTTCTGTTACCTTGTTCTGCACCATATCTATCCAACAACGTGTAAGATTTTACTGCTACAGTAATGAGGTCATTGCTCCTCTGCCATTGACAGATTTTTAAATTGACTTTAGGATGCGGTCATGTAGACATAAGCCGAGCTCCTGGCTCCTGAAAATCCCTGTCTGTGCCTCATTACATTAAGCTGGTAGGCACTCTGAAATGTAACCACCTATGGGGAAGGGGAAAAAAAATAAATCGTTACAGTATATTGCTAAATTGTTTCAGGGATATATATAGTTTCTGTCAGTATTCACTCATTCCCATGCCCTCATTTTTTCAAGTCCTCTGAACACAACTCTCCTAAGAGACAAAGAATCGCTATTAATCATTTCATAGATGCACACAAAGACAGTGACTGTGTCTGTATTCTAAATAAAGATTGCAAGTGTAACAGGCATAGACTCAAGGTATTGAATTCACAGAGATGTTCTAGAGCTCACTTCAAGGTAACGAGCTAAAATGCAATGTGCAGCTATAAACACAGAGTTTGGTATGAAGAGTGACCTAGGTATTTCCCTAGCTTCTTGGGGTTTACTTGCTCATGCTGATTTGAGCGTGATGCACTGCAATGATACTACCAGCAATGCAAAATGTGGTTGAACTCAGACTTGATGTATCATCAAATCAGCTACTTCTAGGGCTGATGGCCAGGAAATCCCAGTGACAAACCTGACCAGATCCCTTAAGACACTTGTTTAGCCTTGGTTAAAGCTAAACTCCCTTAACCAAGATTTGACTACTTTGCAGTTGTATTGCTGCAGTGGTGCTTCACAGAAACATGAGGCAGTCAAATTAAAGGAAAATGAAATCTGATAACACACCTACAAATTACTTCTCCATGATTGCACTGGACATCTGTGTATTTGCCTGTCAGGCCAATACCGCACAGTTTCTGCTCTGCAATGACATTTCCCTTAGCAACCAAATTCAACTGCTTAATAGAACATACTGAGAGAATTTCCAGCAAGTCTCCACTTGCTTTGTAAAGTAACTTTGTAAAATTGGAGTTACCAGATTGCTGTAAACAAGTCCAGCATTGACTTACTTCCCTGCTAACCACTTGTGTACTACCTACTAATCTGGTCAGGATCCTTTCCCTAGAAAGGAAATTTGGATATTACTTTTGATGATTCTTAAAACTTCATGGTGACAACGGGATGCGTTTACACATATGTACTCCATGGCAAAGTTCCCATACATTTCCACTTGATAGCAAGCAGTGAGGGACACATCAGGCTTATGTCTATTTATGCAAATCTCTTTTTATTCCAGAAAGAGGGACCTTTTGCAATACCTCTGCGCTCACTTTTGCCTGCTGACCATGGCAGCTGCTGCAATCAGGCACTAGTCCCCACACATGTTATATCTGCTGTGCTGCAAATCCTGTGAAGCCTCAGGACAAACCACTGCAGTCGCACCAGACCAAGGCTCAAGACTGTGAATTGTTCGGGTGCCATGTGCAGGTGTGAACTTCCTGTGCTTACAAGCTAACAGATGACAGCATAAGGAATAAATACCACCCAGAAGCAGTCCTGAAGAAAATGAATTATTAGAAAAGCTGTTTTGCTTGCCATTTAGCTAGCAGAAGACACTTAAGTTCAGCTCCTCAAACTGTAAATTTTCAGGGCTTCCCCAACTCCTCAAAATAGTCAATCAGCACTGGAAGTGGAGGTGTCTGTAGGTAAAATGGATGTATCTGTAGGTGAAAGTACATACCATGACAGCTTTCTGCTTATAGTCCTCACAGCTACTAGCTTTGAGACAAACTACATTTAAAACATGCTGTTTCCTGCTCAATAGAAATAGGATCTGAGACTGTTGTGGGCACTCTTAATCTTGCATGGTGCTTTGGACACCTTGCACAAGTACAAAACCAAAATACTGCAGCCCTAGACTAAGCACCACAACGCTTACACTGGGGACTTATTAGCTACCTGTGTCCCATACAACTTGTGCACACATTCTACAATAGGGCTTTTTAATACTGCTTTAATAGTGCTGCTTCACAGAAGCAATCACCAAGCAGCTGCACTGCCCCTTGGAAGCTAAGTCTTAAGCCAGCCAAAGCCTCTCTAAGACATCTGGTAACCTATCAGATAGTCAAACAGAAGGGCAGTCCAGAGCCAGACATGCTCACTAAAATCAACTCTAGTGATCCATCATGGCACAAAGAAGCCTCTGAAAAGTCTGCTCTAGGGATACTTGCTGGCAAGACCTATGTGAAACATGCTGTATTTTTATGTGGCCTCTAATATGATGTCCTACCCATTAAATGATCTCTTCATGACTGCTGCCTGTAGCATCTCATATGTGCTTAAATGTTAAGTGTTGGGTATCACAACAGGAAGAGTTTTAACCAAACCAAGCCTGTTTCACAATGTTCAAAACACCAGAGCTATTTAGAAAGTTTCCATTTGTGATTAACTATGATGACTGTCAAAGTGGGAGATCCTTGTATCTTCATGAGTGAACTATAAAATGTGTTTGTAGGGCATGCCTTTTCAATTATTTATATAGTATACAACTACATTGCAAATAAAATAGTTGAAAACCTCAAAACTGGGAGATTGCTTAACAGGAAAAACGAACAGCAATTCATCAACTTTTTTGCCTCCTTTTGTGAAGGGAAGCAAGAAACCAGTCACTGGTATCATTTCATTTCACATGATGCACCCAGATGGCACAGCAATGGGAGCAATAGAAACAAGTTTCATATTTCATTCATGAGTAGGTGAATTTACTATTCATTTGAATCACTGCTAAAAACTTCAGGAAGGTTTTTATGGCTGTTTCTGGGATTTATCGGGCTCTTATTTAGCACTGAAGAAGTGCACAACTGCTTGCTGAGTCAGCTTCAACAGCATCACAGTTCTTAAAATCCACAGCAAAATGACACTATTCAAACAGGACTAGATATCATAAGAGCAATAAAAGAGGTAGACATATACTGTGCTAGCTCAAAAAAAGTCCCGGTATCATCACTTTGCAAGCACTGGTGATTGCAATTAATTCCAAATTTCTATCCTAAGTATTACCACTTAGTTAAAAAAAGAAGGCTCAGTGAGGAATATATGCACCCACTGGCTTGGTAAAGGGATGTTTGTATAGTTCTGAGATTAAATCAGGATTCTTGAATGTCACAACATTTAAGAAATGTCAAAATTTTTCTTAAGCTAGAAAAGAAAGTCATTGTGTTTTCGTATCACATGTGAACCAATTTACTGAGAGGAAATTATGTTAGCATCTTCTAGCTAAAGATAAGACGTAGCCAGCAGTGTAAAAGGAGGAAGAAAAATTATAAACCTTTTCCCTCTGACTTGCTTTATGTTATACAGTAGAGTTTGGCAGTCCCTTTCCTTTTTATCCCTTTCTATTTAGACAATCGGAAATGTGTTACAGACCCAGTTAAAGATACCACACAACTGGCTACAAAACCCATGTCTCATAGAAGGTCTTGCCCAAGTTAATCACTTGGCAGGAAAGGCTTTAGTCTTTACAAGGAACATTGTCAGGAAGTTCCTTGATTTAGAGACAAAGAAATATTTGAGAAGTTCTGATTTAAAAAATTAGGATTTTTAAAATTTTTTTTATTTATTTTTAAGGAAGAATGCAAAAGCCCAATTGAGTAAAAACTTCATATTTCACTGAGGGTGCTGTACTTGCTTTGGATTTATGTTATTCAAATTTAAAGGAGAAATGGCCTGGATTTTCAACTAAAGATTTACCATGGCCAAAACCTCCAAGGTCTAATCCAAGTGCAGACACGGCCTTGTAGGCCATGTACTTATCCTGTTGATACGACACAGCCAGGCAGAGCTGCAGCTAAAGAAACATGCAGTTTACCCAGTGTAGAGCCCACTGGTGAGAGGTGCAC